AAATATAAAATTGTACTATAAGAAAAAGAATTTGTTTATATAAGAAAGTTTCTCTTGAATATATTTCTTTCTCTTGTACATCTAGTAAAAACAATAGCAAGTAGTCAATGTTATTATTCCCATTGTTTTTGATATGTGGTAAAACATGGATAGAATTATTTCTATCAGATAATATCATTATTGATTACGTCATGAAAGAAAATAAAATTATAAAAAATATGAGTGTAGTTTTCTCTTTTGCACCAATTAGTTATAGGGAATGACAGGCCTGTATTATTTCTTGGGAATCCTCCTCCCCCTAACGAAACTTCCCTCCTAACGAAAATATCCTTGATCATTACAACCCATGCTGCAGAGAATCTTTCACTGTGTCACCAATAATTCCATTGAAGATCTTGTTATGTGTTTCGTTGCCACCTACAATTCTACAGCTAAAATGCCTCTGTGATTGCCAAACGCTTTATAAAGAACATCAGGACGAATTCCTTAACATCTATACTAAACATTTGGCTTACAAACGGAATATACATCTGAGTAATGTTCTTGACCATGGTAGATTAGATCCCCTTTTATTAACTCCCTGAAACAATCGCTTTTTATACGCTCACATTATAATTTGACGATCTTTCGATGAACAGTTTTTGAGTTATTGCCTTTGACTTGTGGACACAATAGACTACAGTTTTCATCCGATTTAAATAATAATAATAATAATAAAGTTTATTCAAGCACTGTACGACTTTCTTCATGGTACAAACGTTAACAAATATGATATAAACTGAATTGAATTTCCTAATAAAGAATATACAATAATGATTTTAAATTCAAATATAGAAAATACAAATAATAATTTCAAATATAGTATATACAAATACAAATAATAATTTTAATTTCAAATATAGACTATACAAATAATAATTCAAATTTCGAATATATTATATACAAAATAATAATTTAAATTTCAAATATTTTTATAATTATACAAAGTAATAGTTCAAATTTTAAATTTAGGTATATACAATAAGTCGATTGGATAAAATTCATGAGTATTTCTTGTCTAATATCTAATCCTTTTTTATGTAAAAAACTAATTTTTTTTAAGACATATATAGATTGGCTTGTAAATAGAGACCTAAGTTTGAAATCGTTTGGGTTTGAGTAACAGTATTTTGGCAGGAAGTTGACTCTTAAATCATGCAGTACCAGACAGACAAGTTTAAAATGGTATTCTGTTTCTACCTGTTTATAATTAAAATCCGATTTAAATTAAATTTGGTGTGAATATTAATAATGATGAGATCTTAGATAAGTTCGAATTTGGCTATCTTTTGATGAACGGTTTGTGAGTTAATGCCCTTGACTTAAGAAAAACTCGTCAAAATTTGTTTGTGAACACAAATGATACTACAATTTTCATCCGATTAAAATGAAATTTGGTGTGATCAATTATACTGATGAGATCTTAGACCGCCGTGATATACTAAATGTACTAGGACAGTGGGCGTATCTTGCTAGACAACCACTTGTTGAATTATTTTCTTATCTTGTAAATCTCCTCAGAATTTGATGTATTCCAACCCCCAATCATTACCATCCATACATACAATCCATACTGCAGAGAATCCTATTGTTTGATTATCAAAGCGATGTTATATTTCCAAATAACTAATACCTCGATCATTACCATAATAAAATCCATACTGCAGAGAATCTTATCTTATTGTTTGATTATCAAAGCGATGTTATATTTCCAAATAACTAACACATCAATCATTACCATAATAAAATCCATACTGCAGAGAATCGTATCTTATAGTTTGATTATCTAAGTGATATTATATCTCTAAATAACTAACACCTCAATCATTACCATAATAAAATCCATACTGCAGAGAATTTTATCTTATAGTTTGATTATCTAAGTGATATTATATGTCTTATAACTAACACCTCAATCATTACCATAATACAATCCATACTGCAGAGAATTTTATCTTGTATTGTGATTATATATCTAAGTGATATTATATCTCTAAATAACTAACACCTCAATCATTACCATAATAAAATCCATACTGCAGAGAATCGTATCTTATAGTTTGATTATCTAAGTGATATTATATCTCTAAATAACTAACACCTCAATCATTACCATAATAAAATCCATACTGCAGAGAATCGTATCTTATAGTTTGATTATCTAAGTGATATTATATGTCTTATAACTAACACCTCAATCATTACCATAATACAATCCATACTGCAGAGAATTTTATCTTATAGTTTGATTATCTAAGTGATATTATATCTCTTATAACTAACACCTCAATCATTACCATAATACAATCCATACTGCAGAGAATTTTATCTTGTATTGTGATTATATATCTAAGTGATATTATATCTCTAAATAACTAACACCTCAATCATTACCATAATACAATCCATACTGCAGAGAATTTTATCTTATAGTTTGATTATCTAATGATATTATATCTCTTATAACTAACACCTCAATCATTACCATAATACAATCCATACTGCAGAGAATTTTATCTTATAGTTTGATTATCTAATGATATTATATCTCTAAATAACTAACACCTCAATCGTTACCATAATAAAATCCATACTGCAGATAATTTTATCTTATAGTTTGATTATCTAAGTGATATTATATCTCTAAATAACTAACACCTCAATCATTACCATAATACAATCCATACTGCAGAGAATTTTATCTTATAGTTTGATTATCTAATGATATTATATCTCTTATAACTAACACCTCAATCATTACCATAATACAATCCATACTGCAGAGAATTTTATCTTATAGTTTGATTATCTAATGATATTATATCTCTTATAACTAACACCTCAATCATTACCATAATACAATCCATACTGCAGAGAATTTTATCTTATAGTTTGATTATCTAATGATATTATATCTCTAAATAACTAACACCTCAATCATTACCATAATAAAATCCATACTGCAGAGAATTTTATCTTATAGTTTTATTATCTAATGATATTATATCTCTAAATATCTAACACCTCAATCATATACAATCCATACTGCAGAGAATTTTATCTTATAGTTTGATTATCTAAGTGATATTATATCTCTAAATAACTAACACCTCAATCATATACAATCCATACTGCAGAGAATTTTATCTTGTATTGTGATTATATATCTAAGTGATATTATATCTCTTATAACTAACATTCTTCTATAAACATTCCGGCATCTTGAATCAAATGAAAAATCGGTAGTCCATCGATCCGATCATATCTTTTTCAACCGAGGTGAATGAAAACTCTTGAAAGGCAATGCTCATGAATCTTTCACACAAGCATATATACAGATTAATACAACTAGATTTCAAACTCTACCATTTACTTTTACAATATTGGGGACAATAACTAAAAAGATAGTGGACCACAGCCATATACGCCAACCACCGCATGCGGATGGTACATATTCAAGATTTTGGGGCAAGGGCAATAACTCTGTTTCTTACGGCCGAAAATAGCTCAAATTCGAACTTGATCTTCGTTTTATGAATATGTATACACATACCGAATTTCAATTGATTCCATCAAAAAATCTAGTATTTAGAGCGTTTACAAGCAAATGTTGACAGACGGACCGACCGACGGACGGACAGAGGTGCCGACAATATACGTCCACATAGAGAGATGTGGGCGTATAAAAACGTTGATCGAAAACTTAATTTCGATATACATTTCGGATCCACATTATAAACGCCAAGATTTATTCATATCAGATAAAACCTCTAACTGATTTTGTACCAAGACGTTGATTTCGGCGAGTTTAGGCTAAATAAAGAGCAATAACTAAAAAACCATCCATCAAAAATTAACTGAACTTCTCTTGTGGAACTTCTTTTAAATGGAGATATATATATATTTTTATGTTGAATATTGACATAATATTTTGATATTATAGAATGGGTTACAAATTAATCTAAATTTTTATATTCACTTCAGCTGTAAAGTGAGCAATCGTGCAGGCATAAGGAAAATAGTATTCATATTTTAATATTTCTTAACTGTCATCTATCAACTTTGTATAAGTGTGACAGTTATATTTATTGTCCTATATTTAGTCATGTACAGGTAGAGCTCACTGTCTTATCTCACAATTTGTATTTACTATTCTTCCTTCACACACTATCTTGTAAGACTTGAAGATCGGATGTTAATTATACTAGATAAACCCAACGTTCAAAATGGGACTGGATAAAACCATGAGGGTATTTTGGGTATATGAGGGCGATCTAACCTAAGGGAAATTATGTTCTATACGGTACGAGTTATTTTGTTTTTGAAACTTCATTAATTTCATCTATTAAGGGTTCCAAAAATGTTTATATGGAATATTTCATAAATCAAATCATTTCAAGTGCCTTTTGATTATCTTGAAATATAAAAACTTAAGAATTTGGATGTACATGGATGGTACAGTCTACTCACACCGTTTTATTTTTATAGCCATAACTTGTCTAAAACAAATTAGGAAGTAAATTGCAGAGCTCTAGGCAAATTATGAAAGCAAAATAGTTTAATGATAACTGTTAATTGATATGAAATAAATCGGTAAGTAGATATTATTTGACAAGAAGGAATTTCTATAGAATATTATTTTGTTTCATCCATCAAAATTACGATAAAGTAACATATTTTATGATGTACATGGATATTAATAACCAAGAGTAAAGTGAGTCAAAGCCCATCTATTGAAGACTGTTCAGGATTAGCAAACTAAACCACCGAACATTACATCAACGATATGTGACAAAATCTTCTACTTTAAACACATTTATCACGAAAAGTAAAGAATCTTTACTACTTAAATTAGTAAAAAAGCTAAAATAGAAAAGTGTTTGATATATTTGGCCAGTGTGTCTGAAAGTTAAATAACTGGACAATACGTCAGGACTGTGGCACATATTGGAATAGGAACTATGGATATTATGTTAGATAATGGAAATACTGTCAAAATATGTACAGTATCGAATACATTGGATTATGGTGAGTAATGGGATGAAAACTGACATTTATTTGTTATCAATTGTAGTTTACTTCCTAGTTCATTTATGCCTAATCATGATATAGACATATTTAACAACTGACGAAGTCCGCTTTAGCAGTTTAGCGATTCGTCTCTGTCAGACACGTTTATAGTCAGCACTAGGCACTCAACATCTCACTTGTCATCTCGCTGTCATTGAAGTTTCCACCACGCCCAAACTGATACATGTATACCATAGCGAAGTACAGTATAATATTACATCCTTCATTTTGCCTTAATCTAATTGATTCTAGGCCCCTAACCATTTGCAGTTAGAACAACATGTTGTAAATATTTCTAGGATCAATGTGATTGAGTTTTCCAAAAACCGGAAGATGAATTAACCATCTAATAGTTTCTTCCGATCAAGTAAAATTATTGGCTAAGTGCAAAAGAATAATGTATGGTTTTATATCATAGTAAAATGATCACAGTTAATATTCTTAATTGTTGCCTGAAAAAAAATTGACACAACGATTGCGGCCCTTTAATTGTACAAAATTTACCATATGCAACTGTCAAACTGTCATATTCTGTAGGTTGACGTTGCCACTCAGTAACATATAGAACAATTCTATATATCTGTTGTCTATATATTACTCATCCATGACAACTATTGAAGTCATTTCAGCTTTGATAGTTTGTGATTCAACTGAACTTTTTGTACGATCCTGTCATATTAGGCCCATTAGTGAGTGAATGTTGACAAGCTGATTTCTTTTCTTACCTATTATGATGCTTTTAGATTTTATTCACATTTTGTGGTTTGGACAGAGAAGTTAGCTCCACCTGCACAAATTTTTCTCGGTATCCATGATAAAAAACACCACAAAATAATGATTGTCAATTGATGAAGAAATTTTTAAAGCCTATAGGTCAATCAAATAGCCTATGTCCATAGAAAAAACCTCAAAGTTGGGATTGTCATTTGATTGAGGAATTAACATTTAAATTAAATTCATAATTTCCAGCTCAAGGGAAATAACTACATAAAGTGTTTGTATAATAAATAAACCAAGTACTAACAAACAAAACCGCAAAACGAAACCCAAATCCGTAAAAATATATTGACGAAATATTGGTACCAGCTAATGAACTTTTCATATGAAGTATATCAATCATAAGTGAATAAGTATTTCATAATGAAAAGTGGTATCAGATGTCTAGAAAAGTAAGCAAATCTTGCCTGGCGTCATTGGCTATTCAACAGACACAGCACACACTACAAATAGGAACGCGCCAACAGAAGAAATAGCGACTTGATCAACGATTTAATGGTGCTTCGTTGCCGATTAAATCTGAAATCAGCTACGACACAGATTAATCATATTTGTCAATCTCGTGGTGCCGACCATGTAACTGTTCAATAGAGACTTTCAATTTTGATGAGATGAAACCTTACTGTAAATCTTGGTCCCAGCATGTAAGATTAAATATTCCTTACTGTTGGAATTGACAAAAGGGTAGATTGCTTACACCCTCATTGAAAAATGTATCTAATTAAATTGGACACGTCAAAACATTTGCAATCGATTTCTTTTGATTTCCCATTCTAAATCCACCACCTTTATATCATCTTCACAATGTTCAAGGTATTTCATCTTATAAGATAAAGTCGTAATTACTGATAGACTGAAAAATGTCTATACATGCAATAAGAATACCAGAAAATGAGGTAGTTATTTATTTATTACAGTCTGCCTGGATTTTCCATAAAATCATTGGACCAACAAGATATTGCTAGAAATGGGTAAGAAAGACTAAGCCAACATTAGATAACCGTTCTATTATATCAAATATAATTGCATAATGTTAAGATATTTACTTCCAAAGATGATAGATCAAAATCCTTGCTATCCTTATCACCTTATCACGATTTGGTTTGAACGGAAGTGACGTCAGTATGTTATCAACATTCTCTCATGCAGATATTCAGTATGATGGCATTTGACATCCTGCTTTCCGCAATCTGTCGTAACTTCCGCTTCTAGTCTTCATTTGATATTCTCTCTGAGAAGTATAACGAATGGTAGAATGAAAGTTGAGTTTATTACATTTCAGTTGATTTTCATTTTGAACAGAGGTACATGTTTAAAGATAAAACAATACATTATCATCTATAGTCAAATATAGGAGGCATGATTTTTTAAAAGTGGAAATTATAACATGATGTTTTGTTGCATTTATCCTTCATCTAATGAATTCTTTCAGTTGTATTTTGATTATTTGGCTGTTGTATATATTAATTGAAAGTGGTTATCGATTAGTTTTGAAGTATCCTTAAATTCTCCTTAAGAAAAGCAAAGCATATGAATCAGAAGTCTACGAAAAGTTTTTTTCTGCCACCAATTCTTGGAATGTATGCATGCAGTCTCACATACTAAAACCATGCAGTGCTTTTATTGCAACTCTTCTCAATACACCTTAAGCGACAAAATAACACAAAATAAGCAGTTCTGTTGTATTTGTTATCTCTTCGCTTGAATAAATAATGCTACGTGTATGTTCTATTTTGTATGTATTAATTAATAAGAATATGATCATGTCTTTGGAATTTGAAATGTTTTCTGACGATTGCTTTGTGTGCTTGTTTAATGCGTGTGCATTGCGTGGGAAGTATGAGTTTTATTCTACATATTGTGTATATGGTTCATATTACTTTATTTGATCGGTAAAACACAATTTCTTTAAGATCAACCACCGAGTTCATGGGTATCTGAATATTTATTAAAAACAAGATGTATGGACAAAAAAAACAACAAAAACTTCATACATAACGTGACACATCTAATACCTGAACATAGATCACTGGAAATGATTATTTCTTATATGAACTCCTTTCTTTTGATTTAAAAATTGAACCCAATATAAAATGTGAATGACAATATCTCTTTTAACAAAAGTAATAAATGGCACCAATGTTTTGCCTACAGACAAGATCATCAAATGTTCTGCACGCACTAATTTGTGGTAGAAGACACCGATTTAACTAACATTCCGAAAGGAATTAAAAAAATTCATATAAAAAAAATATTCATATAGTGATTTTAACAGCCATATAGTAGTCTTTATTATTGTTTTATGTTTATTTTTTTATACAGCCAAAGCACAACCAAGAAAACCCATGAAAATGCCCCTCCCTCCGCTAGTAAGTGTAATATTTTTTTCTTTTTGGGATGTCAATGTTAATTAATATTTATACAAAGTACAAAGTCAATTTTTTGATTTGAAGAACTGTTTCTTGATAAGAATATCGCATTATTGGATTGTTGAACCCAAAATAAGGTTTCGCTATCCCATTTTTGTGTTATCAAAAAAAAACGGGTCCTCACGACACGTCATTTAAACTCACTTTAGAATTGAGACGAAAAGAATATCAGAAAAAATTGTAAATTGTCATCCAGTTATTATTAACATTATCTATGCTGAGATTACCAATAATATTGTTATTTATTTCAGCCTAATAGTTCAGCCCCAGCTCTTCCTCCTCGCCGTGGTGCCCCACCCCCACCACCTCCTCAGGACCAGGTAAAGCATTTCACTTAATTTACCTCTCTGTATCCAAGCGGTAAGAAAAATTACTCCCCCTTCACTTAAACCTGTAATAACGTCCAATAACGATGCAGGGATGGAATAATTTAATTAAGGGAAAGGTATTATTTGAAAAAATATTTATTTTATACTTATACAAATTCTCCCATTTTTTCTTTACACCCCTTATTGGTTATTGTTTTATCCGTTAAACTGTAATTATTTTGTTTTACTAACCAAATACTCGTTTGGTTACATTGTGAGAATTTGACAGAATTTGATATTTGATGACAATGGTGTATATATTTAAGGATGAGTACGACGAGTTCTCTTTTGAAGCAGACGAGGTGAGTAAAAATTTGTTTGTTCTTTAGTCCAAGAGCTTTAGGTTTAACCGTGAAACTTTAACAGCAGAGAACGTTTTTAGTGAAATTAAAGAGGCTGTTGGCAGCCATCGAGGATTTGGAAACACACATGTGTGATTTTCATGAACTGATAGCAGTGCCTACCATGGCAGTACACTTTTTTAGACCTCTTCTGGAAAGCCAGAACCTGTTCCTTTGAGATCATATACTCGTTATCTATGTAAAATATTTACTTCATTCAGGAAGACTATGACGAGTTTGACGTCGAAAATAAATCTCCACCAAAACCAGCTTTTAAACCTCCAGCGCCACCTACAGAGGTACGTTATGATTGAATTACTTACTTGAAACACGGATGTATACTTACCTAGAATACGAACAAAATCTTATTATCCGTTCGACCAATCATACCTTAGTTCAGAAACACGAATGTTTTAAGCTTACATAATCAGTAATAGTGTTCACAGCTCATCGTCGAAATTTGAGCCTTCAAATCCATTTGTATCCATAATTATTCATGTTTGAAAGTTAAAAATTCGACTCGAATTTTAGAGGACTATGCCATATATAGAAAACACATAATGAGAATAGACAGTGAAATCAATTCCCGAAAATCCCGAATGTTCCCCTTGAAGGAGTCCATAAATGCTTCAAGGCTAACATGCATAGGGCTCACGTAATAATTCCATAGTTTTAGATTCGTGTATGGTATTATAAAACTTTTAAGAATTTGGCACCTTCCCTTATTGAATCCTATTTTGTCAATAATTTTATTATGAAGTTTGATTTCGGCATCAAGAGTTACTTTTTGAGTTCATACATAGTGGTATTCTGCCGTCAAAATTTTTGTCTGGGCATTTCTGAGACCAAACTTGTTCTCAGGTTTTGGGATGCCGAGTCACCTTATAATTGTACCTTCTAAATTGCGCATGAAATACATGTACGTTATAATATACGAGCAGTTAAAATTTGAGACTTTATTTATTTCAACAGCCAGATGAATATTATGATGAATTTGCTGTAAGTGAGTCACCGCCGTCTGGACCAAGTATTTATATGGTATGCATTCATTTCTTTTATTATAACATATCATTTTATTTATTAACAGTAAAACCATCGATTTAGATTAAGTTGAACGTTGTTAAGATGATTTGTGTCTGTCTATAGCTCCTATAATTTTCACAAAACTTCTATCGTAAATATCATTACCACCAGTCTAGAGTAGTTTTGACTAATTTGATTTATATTGACTTTTGTGACATGATTGTACCTCTCTGATTGTTTATTGTTGTAGATGGGCGATACAACAGACGAAGCTCCACCTCCACCACCACCACCATCTTTTTCTGGTCGTCCTAAACTTTCCAAACCACCTGCTGTAAGTTTTACTGCCATCGATTGCTTTCAGATCCCTCAAAATCAACGATAATGGGTGCTTACATGGAAAAAGCGTTTTGTTGTTTGCGGATGGTACAATACAACTGGACCCATTGTGCTACTTATAAAATCCTTCGACATATTAATCTATAATATATATAATATTCTGCAAGCTAAATTCCACCCATGCTAAGATATGTGGTCACTGACAGGAAAGTACATTAACATACATAACTAATTAAATGCTCTGTTCATTCTGATTGAAACCAATACAATACTTAGTTCTCGATTTTTCTTTATAAATATACATCACAGAGAGCTTAGAGAGTATTTTAAACACGATTTAGGAAGGAGTTAGGAGAGGCTGCTATAGACATTGACTAATTATTCGGTTCTAAGAATTCGATTCCAAAGACGGGTTTCCTATTTAAAGCCAGATAATTAAATCATATTTGTTTTCTTTTTCAGCACGAAGAAGGTATCATTTTAAAGATATATATAAATAGTTAAATGCATCGAATAAATCACATTACTTTTAGAATGTTAGATGACGCAAATCTTACCTTTTTCGATACAAGTTGAGATAATCTTCTCCTCAAAATAGGAGAGTTGAAAAGTTTGCAATGTATATGTTACTGTTTTATACGAGTCAAATTATACGCTCTCAGTTTGTGAATTTTTGAGAAAGAAAACCTTACGTCCAGTTACAAAGAGATAATACATATCGTTCTTTACTGCTGTAATTAAGGGAGTGAACTTTTGGTATTTCAGCTTAACGATAAATTTCTCTAAATCCGAACAATTAACATTGAAGCTTAAAGATGGGTTCCCTTATTTTAATCTATGAAAATGAAAATGCTAATACTTATATGAATAGAAAGTAGAGATGTTCTAATGACTCGTAAAAATTCCAGTTTGTCTCACATGTCCATAATTAATTCATAATAAGCTATATTAGAAGAGAATTACCAGCAGAATTACGATGAGTGACCGATCAAGAAAGGTCAAAAAGTATTTTTTTGTTTATCCAGACTGTATATACATAGACTGTGATTGGTTAAGACTCTTAATTATATGCAATAAGAACAAAATGATATGATTAAGAATACACCATAATTCATTAGAAACACCAATTAATCAAATAGTTTGCATAATGTGATACTAAAAAATAAGGAAATCCATCTTTAAATATTACATTCTTAGAATATGGCATTCTGTTTCTATGGAATATAAATCGGATTTTTAATCTGACTATGCTATACGATCTTAACTAACATTGTGTTCTATGTGTTAAATAATCATAAATAACTTTAATCTTTTAACGAAATAGAATATATGGATCCCGATGAAGATGAAAATATAAGCGCTGGAAGTCATGTAAGTTGATTTATTAATCTGATTTCAGCTAACCTTAACAATAACCTTATCAGTAATAACCAAATTGGGACTTAGCTATTAATTGATTTGCAATTATGCTAAATCAGTCTTACTATTATTCTTGGATTCTTTTGCGTCAACACTTTTTGAAGCATTTAAAGGAGCCTGTCCAGATACATTATTGAATTTCTTAAAATTTATCAAAACATATTTTATATGCTTACTTGTTATTGAAATGATTGTAAAGTTTGCAATCTCTCATTAACGTGAAATGAATATTTCAATTAGTTTACATACAGTACATTACAACTGTTATTTGTTGAATCTTGTTAAATATCATTTCTATCCAATCTGGAACGGTTCCTATTTGACCAGGCCTATAGCCTGTTTCTGTTTGATTCTAAATCTTTATGCTTTGACAATAACATGGAATTGTATATATATATATATATATAATATATAATGTATTTATTTTCTTATAGTCATCTACAGGTTCAAGTGGTAAGTCACATACTATACTATTCAGTAAAGAAATGGCAAAAGTGGAATGATTGACCTTAAATACCGATTTTTTCAATACGTTATATAGGAAGAAATATAATCATTCCAATATGAACATTCCCATCTTACAGAGTGCAAATACTTCTGTTAAGAAACTTAACTGAATCTATTTAGACAATTCTCATGGATAGGTGACTTAGAGCTCTTGCAGCTAAAAGGTGACTGTAGAAAGTCGAAATATTGTCATATTAAAGAATATTGGGAACATATGATTTATCTGAATTTATTAGGACCTCCTGTACCAGGAAATAGGAAACCAGAGTTACCCAGTAGAGTAGAGAAACCTAAGAAAGCAGGTCAATCTATTTTTACCCTGGACACAAATACTCTTACCAATGTGAAAAGTAGACTAAAAAATGTTGGGTTTAATAAGAAGCCAGAAAAAAAGAACGACGAAGAAAAACAAAATATTTTTGGAAAGGCTCTCAAACCAGGTAAGTTGTCTGATCTGTTATTTAAAGTGGGTAGATGTAGAACTACCGGTTCTATGATATGGTTAAAATTCTAAAAGCAGAGCTAGAAATGAGGCCAATGATGACAAACAATATGACAAGGGTTAGAAACGAAAATGAATTGCGACAAACAAAGGTGACACCAAAAGCCAAATTGAAAGTGACTACTTTTAACAAACTGTTTCTACTGTTTCAAACTGTGGATGAATGATACCTACAGTATTTCGGTCTTCATTGTCTTTTATTTTTTGTGCCCGTATACTATTAACAGTTTTGAGGACAGTTTTGTGGTAAACGAAGCTGATTGTATCTGGCTTCATTGGGATGTATTTTGATTACACAAAAAGAGTAATAATGTAGAACCTTTTTTTCAGAAAAGAACATTCTTGCAGCTAAACCAACCCCTCCTATAAAACCACCATCACAAACTAGTAATCTCAAAAATAAATTTTTTACTAAATTTTCTTCAAAACCAAAAGATATGCCACCAGTGCCCCCTATACCAGATTTAAAAATTGATGCATTCCAAAGTAACGAGTCTCATTCACATCATTCGGATAAGAAACTTGAACATAACAATTCAAGTCATCATGAAGATCAAATTGATCATAGCACGCCAGAAGTAGTGAGTGTCAATTCAAAAACATGTTAAGTGTATGGCATGGTTTTCTTATTAGCCTACCTTATTCAAATTATTTTGCATGATTAGATTCACGGTATTTTATTGTGTATGTACTTCTGTTGCACCATATCACAGTGATATTTTCACACAACAGGTTTTGTTGAAGACTTTTGTGTAGAAATTATACAAATACATAACAAAAAATTGGTTGTAATGGATTAGTAAAACAATAATTTTTCATATAAAAGCATGTTATATAGCGGTAATTGGTTAATCTTGGTGGAAGTGAATGTAATTCGGTTTTGTTTCAGATTCCAATTCTACCTTAACCTGGATCATTTTCAGCGCCCCTTGAATTACAAGAACTAGCATTAGTTTCAGACTCAAATATGCTAGTGAGGTTGTATCTAATGCTAAGCTAGGCCCTTGACTATTTGCATTGTTTTGCATCTCTATTTTGGTGTGATCATTTGGATTGACGATATCTTGGACGAGATGTATCGGATTCGATTTAAATAGCTATTGCAATCAGTTCGTATGTTAAAACATGGTTCATGATGTTTTTATTGTTTCAAAATTTATATCTGCATTTTTTCCATCCACAGATTTAAAAAAATTGTTACGGGCAATTTTGTAAGTCTACGAACATCTCCATGGTTTTCTTCTGGTCTACAAATCTTATCAATTTGATTTATGTAGCCTACAAAATATTTCTTCGGGTTTTTGACGTTATTTCGTAATAGCTCTCATGAAGTTAAAATATCATTTGAAGTTATGCTGTATTTTAAAACGTAGTTCAAATATTTCAGTGACACCTAAAAAGCCAGATAAATCGAAAGAAAATGGGATTATAAGTCCGAAACCGAAATCGAAACCTGAAAAAGTAGTTCATAAGGAGGAAGTGAAAATACTAATTCCTAAGCAGGAAGTGAAAAAACTAATTCCTAAGCAGGAAGTGAAGGTGTCAATACTAATATTAAATACAGTAGAATAACCTATAGTTACAAAATAGACTAAATAAAATTGGCACTCTCTCCCATATAGTCAATTTCTGCTCAACATAATGCCAAATGATTATCTATAATGGTTTTCTCTTATACCCTTAGATTTTACAGAGACTATTCAGTGTGTACTTCCCTTTGTCATTTCTTTAAGGAATGTTTTAGAAACTGTACATATTCCTATTTTTCCTACTTAGCTTGAAATGAAAATATAAGAAAAATCTGTAGCGGATAGAGACATTTAAAATGAAGATTCCCTCAAACCATAGCGATAACCAAATGGGTATAACGGACATAAGTTTCGAACTGAGTTGTGAGTCGGGTTCAAAACTTAAGACCACTTTGATTATTCGCAACCATACGCAACTGGTAATCGCTATGGTGTGAGGGCATCTTAAGGTTGTACTGAATTTGTTGCAATACAACTCTGGTTTCTTCCATTCATTATATTAATTTGATGGTTGACCAACTTTTAAATTGCTTTAAGATAAGTCTAGTACTAGTCGCTTTTTGGTCACGAGAATCTGTGTTGACGGTAATAGTTTACTATTCCGGGATGTATGTCAAGATTCTTCGTACTGTGGAAACGGTGTAAAATGTCCTCATGTCACACAATTAATTCATTTAGATAAAGAATCATTCTCATCCACCTTGTTTTATCATATATCATGTTTGTATTTGTAATGTGCTAATTTGTTCTCTATTTATTTCACCTTTTGCATGCTTCTTATATAACCTTTAACATAAGCAACTTTTTTTGTTTTTTTCAAATTTCAAAAATTTATTTTTTATCAAATCTTTATAATCACAATGTTTACTATATCAAATTCACTTATTTCATTCATTCTATTTATTGGCCTAATTGATAATGTGAAAAATAACAATTTAAAAAAAAAATTAAATTGGATTTAAAATATTTTCATGTTGATATGGTATGATATATGTAAGGTATATGACTATATAAAATGTGTATTTTGTTATAGGAAGATGAGGAGGTCGATGCGATTTACGATGACGCCACATCGCAAGTTAGTGTTTTATATTTAGATGAATATAACATAATATTTAGACATATGATTATAAAGAATTTCAGTATTCTACCTAAAGCGTTGCGATAAAAGATATAACTATCAATGGATATTTGCCCCAAGACTTGAGAATTTAAATGATTTCTCAAATTGTATGTAAGGTGCCAAGTCGGGATACTGTCGTCAAGTTTTTGCCAGATACCACCCGAATTCGAACTATCTGTATAGCGCAAACAATTGTTTAAAACTGATTTCGGTGTCCAGGAATATTATTGTTAAAGAGGGTTATTTTTAATACTTTTCAGTTGGACGATCCACTTCTGGTTCATAAATGGTATCATGGTTTGATAGACAGGGAAGAATCCAATAAACGATTGAAGTCGATTGGCTCAGTAAGTAAACTTGATTATTATTTTCTACGTGGATTTGAATTTAAAATTTTGTATCTGAAGACTTCTCAAAGAGTCTCGGATTATCAATTTCCTCGATACATTTAACTTATACGCGTATCCATCAGGGTTTCTTTATTGTCTTGACATACAATATAAATATGTGTGTATATAGATATGAAAATATGAATCTGTTTTGTAGGATGGTACATTTTTGGTTAGACAAAGTACAAAAGAAAACCACCCATGCACATTAGCAGTTTTGTATCAAAATCACATTCAAAATTTAAAAGTGAGGATAAGACCCGATGGCAAATATGCTCTTGGTGAATATAAAGACAATGAAGTCGTAAGTAAATTCCTTTTTTATCCACTGTTCTTGATGAAAATCTGCCACCAAATACAATTATGAGCCTCTCAAAAAATTTACATAGATAAAATCCATTTTTCGAGAAATATTGTAATCTGATTGGCAACCGAATCCAGAGTAAAAATTGATATAAGTAACTCAATCAAATAACACAAGTACTAAATAATTTCTGGTTATGATTTTGTGAATTTTAAGGAACCATAACGAGGGTAAATTAAAGGAAGAAGTATATCATGTAAATTGCTATTTTCAGGTTTTTTCTACGGTGCCAGAAGTTATTGAACATCACAAGAAGAATGATGTTATCCTAATTGGTCAGAAGACAGGGAAAGTTAAATTGAAGGAAACGCCAAAAAGATACTAGAAATACAGTATGAACACACTTCTGTGTAGTTTTTATACAAACAATCCATGATTTTACATTAAGATTTCTACCTTATATGACAGAAGAATCCTCAGATTTCTAAACTGAATATTTCTTCTGTTCTTAAATTTATGTCGAGTATTGAACTTTGTATGTAGGTTTAAAAACATGAAGATCATGTTGGAGAAACATCAGTTTACAGTGTTATTGTTCTTGTCCCGGAAGAATAAGAGCTCACTCTCAGTAAAACACATTCATTATTTTTAGGTATTTAAATAGCTTTTTAAATGTGTTCTTTGAAAAAGAATCTCTTACGTGGTATAATGGTAGTACTCATGAAATGAATAAAAGATGCATGCCATTCATGAACCGTTTCAATTTATGCTATATCTAACAAATTTCTTTATTTGGCCAGTGTATTAGATAGTATTTTATAGGAACTTCTTAACTCTTGATACCACACTGAATTCTATTTAGAGTTGAATTAGAATACACTTCGTGGAACTAAAAAATCTGATTGAAATGCGTACATTTTTTATTGTGTTTGATGAATATTTGCAATTTGTCTCTGATCATACTTCTACAACATGTTTTAACAATATGTTTAATGTCATAAGGTTTATATTGTGTAGCCATATACAATAATTATGAAACCCAGTATCTTAAAGATTTACTATTGTATATATTGTGTCTGTGATTTGTATTATCTTTTTCAATGCAAGTTTATTAATACTTTATAGTGCAGATATCGTTTTACACAATAATTATGTCTTTGAAAGAATTATTGTCACCGCAGAAATACAAGCATCAGATTTGCTCCCTATTTTATGCTTATGTGTTACTGAGAATGTCACATGTGATATATTTATTTATCTTAAGCGTAATGCAAATGACAAATGTATCCTAAAAGGTAAAAATAATCGTATTTGTTTCAAGATACTATGTAAGATACTCCCCTTTATCATTATTATTAATATTTTCTACTCTTTTGTACAAAGTGTAATAAATTAGATTTTTTTCATTCATATATCCGTGATAGAGTTCAAAAATAACATGACCAACAGTGTTCGAACCCAAGTGAATACAATATACTCAATACCAAACGCATTTCTTAGTCACAATCAGGTTTGTTAGTTATCCTTCACACGAAATTGGGGCAAGATTGTCTGAATGTGTTTCTGGTTGTAAATCATACAAATCAGATACTTGTATGGATGATTATTATGCCTGGATACCTTCCATTTAGACCTATCCAACGTACGGGTTAACACGAAAACATTTTTCTATTAATATAATGCATCCCACATTATGCATAAAGGCTGCATTCCTTTTTAATTGTGGATCAGCAGATGGTAGAAGAATGTTGATTAATGCTTCATTCACCGCTGCCCCTTCACTGGAATTCTACAGTATATCACTTCAAACGTCTTGTAGGTCAGTTTTGTCCATAATTTGGCAGAATGGGACAGTATTTGGCAAATTTTGAATTTTTTATAACGTCCGGAAGGAAGGGTAGATCATAAACTTCTTTTCCTTCTTCATATTCAACCTTCTCGTCAGGTTTATTTTCTCCTTCCAAGAACGATACCAAACCACGAGATTCCAAAGTTCCTGAAAACAATTAGCGGTTCTGTAATATTATGGAAAGTGATTTTTCTTGGATTAGTAGGCCTTAAAATTTACGAAGCTATCATATTTATTTTGTGTTTGTAATTTTCAATTGTAAAGATATGGCAACATAAGTCACACCACAGAATCCTATTTTTCATTTGACTTTCAATAGAGAAATTATACAAACCCGCCACTGTGTTGTCAAGAAAACAAGCAATAACTCCGGCTACAAATACACCATTGGCTGCCAACATCGTAAGTGTTCTATCAAACTCAGGTAACCCTAAAGCAAATAAAAAGATTCATAAATATTTCCAATAAACTAAACGTGATAGTTTAGTAGTCCCTTAAATATTCACACACACAGTTTAAATATCGTCAAAGAGAAAAGAAAACCAATCTTACACCGTATTTATGGTCCGAAGCGTCAGATATAAAAATATCAATGCATACTACCAAAATAGAACTAATTTTAATAATCTGAACAAGATTTGAATGTGAACTACGAGAAGATAATATCATGACCTATATGAATTCGATTACTAATTGGCTATCCAATAATCAGTACATAAGAAGGAAAAGATAACTTACGCCCACTACAAGCTACAAAGAAGAACAGTCTTTAGTGACTTAAATATGAATTTTACTATTTTAGAGATCTTCATAATACATAGTAGTTGTTTATAATATTTATTCCATTTTTTTTTAAATCAATAGCAATAACCCTTAAAGCACTTCATCGAAAATCATCGAAATCGAACTTCACTAAATTCTTATCAATATAAATGAAAACACCAAATCTCATCATCTCTATTGTGGTCACAAACAAATTTGATTTTTAAATAAGTCAATGACAATAATTGTCAAATTTGAATCAGTCATCAATATAAATCGTCACACCAAATTTCATTAAAATCGGATGAACACTGTAATGTCTATTGTACTCACAAACAAATTTTGACGTTTTTACACGGTAGGTCTATAGGGCAATAACTCAAAAACCGTTCATCAAAAAAATCGATCTTGACCAAGATCTCGTAAATATAAATCACCACAATTCGAATCAAAATTGTTGTCTGTTGCGCTCAGAAACAAATTTGGACCCGTTTTTGCTAAGTCAAGCGCAATAATTCAAAAAAACTTTCATCGAAAAATCGTCAAATTCGATCTTGACCAAGATCTCAAATAAAAATCAAATAAAAGCTGTAATCTCTATAGTGCTTACAAGAAATGTGGACGGACCAACAGACCCACGGACAGAGGCAATATACGTCCACATTTCCATGTGGGCGTATAAAAAGTGGTGAAGTGGCTTACCTGTGCGAATCCCGTTAGGATTCTTTTCGATCCAATATGGCATCATAAATCCTATAAGTATACTGATACCCAGTATGGCTAGGTTTCTAGTACTATTCAGATCTACGAATTGAAGCTGTGACAAAACTATACCAATAAATATTCCAAAATACAAGATCATAGTACCACCCAATATACTATAAGGTATTGTGATGAAGGCAGCGTTTAGTTTCCCCAAGATGGCAAACAGAATGTAAAGAAGCGCAAGCAACTGAAAAACACGACGACTGGCTACCTAAATTGTTTAAAAGAAAATATTTAAAACAACGTTACAGATTCTAAAACAATGCTTTTCCAAAAAAACTTACGAGTTAACATTACAACTCCATTGCCATTTGCTTTCTATTTCATTGGTATGCAGTTGGGGACACTGAACTGTGATTAATCATTTTGTTGGAACCGGACAAAAAAAAATTTGCTAGTCACTCGGAAAATACCTTTTTGGACACTCTGTAGGCCTTTGCGTATCTTCAATAAGTGAAGGCAAAAAATGAAGTAAATCTACAATTTTCTCGGTTCGGCATAGGACACTCGGAAAGGAAAATAGCCTTACTTTTGTGACGCCAATAGCCCCTATGTTTCCACCATATGAATTTGTACCATGGCCAGCACCAGTCATTCCAGCAAAGAAACTCATCAGACCTTCCCAAAATATCCCCCTGTTCATAGCATGTGCTGGTGGGAATGGTACGTAACACATCCTAGCACAGGCATTATAGTCACAGATAGAATCAATGACTGACATAATAGTAGCTACTAAAGCTCCTACAAAAGCTGCCGTATCAAATTTGTATCCACCAAACTGACCTAGAATTTAAGATTGATATAGATTATATGTATAAAGTCATACGTTTCTGATACATCGACCAGTTTGCGCTCAAATATCTTATGATGGGCTACATTTATTTCAAGAGTTCTCTGTTTTGACTTTGTACTTTGATTTCGGTTCATGGTTAGGACTATGTGTCAGTTTAACTATTCTATAGAACGTACCGGGATAAGGAAAGAAGAACCAAGGATTGTTAGTAAGAATCTGATTTCTAGCATCGGTTCTTGCATAAAATTGAACACTGTTGTGATCTGTTGATAAAGCACCTACATAAGTAAGTATAGCACTCAATACCCAACCAAATATTACCGAGAACAATATCTGAAAAAAAGAAATCAAATATTATAACCGAAAATGAATAATGATATCAATAGGTATTTGGCAGCACAAAAATTCAACCCTGGGGTTCGGAACTGGGGAGTTTGGTTGTAACCAAAGAACTATAATATAATTTTGCGGTGTGACCTACTGTTTTAGAAGAAGAATTTATCTTTGATGTTTTGAATATCCAATGTTTTGGGGTGCGGTGAGTTTTACATGATTGCACTGGGTGTGTGGGTTGGGAACCGGTGATCTAATGTGACAAAAAGACACTTTTCATCTCACCGAAAAGACTTGATGTAAGGGATACCACAGGATATGGAACCCTCGCTTTCTCGTCCACATTGGTATGGGCGTCTTTTTACCAGCCAGGTACAATGAAAGGATCACACCACAAATAGTTGTGCTGAAAGAGAAAGGGTGGTAAGAATTCGTAATTCACCTTTACTACCTCAAAGTTTTATGTGCTCACTTTAATACGCCCACATGAAATGGGGGACGTATATTGGGGTCGGTTCGTCGGTTCGTACGTCCATTCATCCGTTCACTATTGCTCGTAAACACATAAGAAGACACAATTCTTGGCGGATTTTGACAAACCTTGGTGTGAATGTTTGTAATCACCCAAGGATGAACCCTATTGAATATCAGAAAATTCGAAAAATGTTGGGTATGAATTATTGCCCTTGTTCCTAAGAACGCATTCAATTTTTAGCTCGTACTCGTAAACGGATTTTCACGAAACTTGGTGTGAGTGTTTCTTATCACCTGAACTCTTTATCTATTAAAAATCAACAAATTGAATATATTTATATGAGTTATTGCCCTTGTTCTTTCATACTGGTGATTGTTGTTCAGTTGGATCAATCTTTTTATAAGTGCTCGATCTTACTGTCGATTTTACGCCTAGCAGAAATTGAGAGGAGTTGGATTAGCGTGAAGCTATTTAGAAGATGGTAGTCATCTTTTATAAGACATAATGTCATTGAAAATTTCAGCCAATCAAAAGACATGAATTTTATTGGCTCAACCAATGACGTCTTGGGCTCAACAAATTTGATAAAGATGGCGACATTGTTTGGGTATACCCGCCTGATGGACATTTATCTAATTTGTACACAAATACATAATGTCAACTCAAGTTGTTGTAAAATACATCTTATTCCATAATTATCTAATACTGTAAACATGTACTGTTTTTAAAGGACTAAATCAAGTAATACAAAATTGCATGATATATATCTACTTGGTGGTCTGTCTCTAAAATAGTTTTATTTAATGTAAACTTGTCGGTCTAGTGGATTAGCACCAACTGCATCTGGTCAGTAGCTGGATTTAATGGACTTAAGAACAAAGGGAATTTGTGCTCAGTGACAAGTTAATCAGTTAATTTCTGTTGTAAGCGTTTCGCTTATGTCGACCGGGATGGATCTGATGAGACGCTTTGAATCATGCATATTCCTTGAATTAAATATTATAAACGCATAGAGACAGGGTAAACAGTAGATTTGAGATGTCACCAAACGCATTGCACGTGCATGGAGATGGTAATTTTGTAAGTTCTTATAGCTTTTACAAAATCCCTTTGCACACTGTAATAAGATATGTGCATGAAATCCTAGAATTATTATAAATCTTGAAAATATCCCACTAAAGATAAGATAAGTACATACGCGACTGCTGATCCCCAATAACTTTCAGCAAACTTGACAGTGACTCTATGGACGTATAAAACAGCTAACATTAGTGCAGGAACAATTGTTATAGGACCAACAAACTTAGCAATAACCCCAACCAGACCAGTTAGTCCTATTAATATATGTATTCCACCAGCTACCATTAAACTACCTTGTAACTAGAAAAGAATTGTATCAACTTATTTTCAAATTGATTATCACAAGAATCAAAAGGGTTACGGCCACTTTTCATGTAATGCTTTTTTTTTCACGATTATTCCAAACCTATACGTATTCACATTTAAGTATGGCCACTCACTTGTGCAAAACCGATGGGGTATGATAATAATGGCCAAAAATTTCGCTTTTAAAAATCAAACTTAAGTACAATTTTTGATACCTTTTGTAGTTGACCAAAGATAATTTCGCGGGGAATGGGAAATCTTCCATCTATTGTAGTTATATTCAATGTTGAATTAGAATAGTAAGATTCTGAAATAAAACAATACTAAGTATTCTTGATATACACAGAAACTTTGATCGCTTTGTACATAGCTGACAAGCTGTCAAATGTTCGGATAGATTATGTTTTTGTTAGATGAAGGGTTTTATGATCTAATGACCGCAGTGTTGGATAACCCAATTTGAGCTGAAAAATTGATGGTTGAAAATTACCAAATACCTAACATTTCCTCAGATGGACATCTCCATTCTTTTAAAGTGGCCAATCCCAATAATGGAACAACATAACTCGAACTTGGTCCTTGAAATATGGGTAACCTGAAACAAACCATGGGAAGAATGGATGAAGACACAGAAGAATGCCATTGAACCTTGAACACTATTATCTTTCCTCACCATCTAGTCTGCATGCTCAATTGCCAACAACAGTAGTTTTCATACAATGACAGGAACGTTCCGTTAGTATTAACAGATAGTGATTATATGTACAATCATGCGACTTACCCGACACCTAATGTGCACATTAGCAATGTAGCTATACCCGCCATCATAAACGTGGTACTGAGTAGCTGTGCTTTGATTTCATCATCATCTCTAGCACAGACCAACTCTGCTACTAATAGAGACACTGACAGGGATGTTGAAACTGGAAGTAGGGCTTGCTGGAAATATAATACTCAATTTGTTATATAACGATAGGCGAGAAAGTTATTCAATTCCATTTATGAGTGCTGTATTTAAGAGTAATGTTTTATGTTCTATATTTTTATATTACATGTACATCAGGCTTGTTTCCTGCTTTTTAAAAAGGGAGGGGGCCGCGGTGGCTCAGTGAGTTAGACGCTTGCTCGCAAACCTGAAGGTTCAATCCCGACATGGGTCGAGATAATACCTTCAACTTTCAACCCGGTTTCCCCCTGTTAGTGAAGCAGGTGAGAGGGGCTGACATGGAAAAAGCGTCTAGTCGTTCGGATGGGACAATAAACCGAGGCACCGTGTTCTACAGGCTGTGCACGTTGAAGATCCCTCGGCAGTTGGAAATCGTAAAAGAGCAGGCTAATGCCGCTGTCCTGGCAAAAGTTCCCTCATTGCACCTTGCCTGGCGTTGCCCGTCTTCATTAGCCCACATGGTGCAGAAAAGTACGACGTAAAATTCATTTCATTTAAAAAGGGAAACATTATATGGTCTTCTCTAATAATCGTGAAATTGTGTTTTGATTCTTTAAATTAATTTAAATTTCCAGAGTAGATCGGCATAACAAATACCATTTCTTGCTGGAAGAAGTCGGCACAAAATTCTATTCTATATGTGTATGTTATGCGCTATTTATTAAAACAATTTGAATAGATAACTAGTTATGTGGCATAGGTAGGTACTATAGAGTGGTTGTTGGTTAAGGTTCATGTCATTTGAGTTGCTCACGGCGTTAGTTCCGATCATATTTTCATGCATATTTTGAACAGTCTAGTATAAAATTTTTAATGTTGCACGGCTATTTCGAAAGATTCGATACATGCTGGTGCTTTTGAAAAAGTATGACGAGGGAATACAGATGTATTGAAAATACCTTATCTTCACGAAGAAGAAATTTTATGTGCAATTTTGTCAATTCGAAATAGCGCACGGTCATCCTTGTTTAACATAGTCAACATGACCTACCACATATTGATATTTTCTAGTGATTTCCGACTTTTTAAACTTATGGCGAGGACTTATATGATCGCACCTTGGTTTCCCGTGACATGAACTGGATTGAAGACATGACCACAAAACATCAGCTGATTAGATAGTGTAAATCAAAGTGAACAGAAAAACGTTATTATTAAAGTATTATTGCAATTATATGAAAAGAATTGAAAACTGTAACAATTGCTATAAGCTGTGCGAAAGTATCAAGTATCAAGTATCAAGTATCCCGTGACATGAACTGGATTGAAGACATGACCACAAAACATCAGCTGATTAGATAGTGTAAATCAAAGTGAACAGAAAAACGTTATTATTAAAGTATTATTGCAATTATATGAAAAGAATTGAAAACTGTAACAATTGCTATAACCTGTGCGAAAGTATCAAGTATCAAGTATCAAGTATCCCGTGACATGAACTGGATTGAAGACATGACCACAAAACATCAGCTGATTAGATAGTGTAAATCAAAGTGAACAGAAAAACGTTATTATTAAAGTATTATTGCAATTATATGAAAAGAATTGAAAACTGTAACAATTGCTATAACCTGTGCGAAAGTATCAAGTATGAGTCGGTTGTCCTTAAAAGGTATTTTCAAGATTATATCACATAGTTTACTATATTTGCGTATATATATCAGCTGCATCATCATATAAGAAGATATATATATCAATATTGTATATTAATTCTAATATATATTATTAACAATGTTAAAAGGATGCTGGAGTATCAAAGCTCAATTTCAGCACATTTCATCATTGAAGTCAGGTTATTCTAATATGCAATATAACGTATAAAAATTTAGATTGAGATTGATAACTTCGCTAGGGTTATTGACTTTCTGGTGTGCAGTATTTTGACCTCATTATTTTGAAATAACTGCTAACAAGAATGTTCGTAGCGCCCTGCAAGTGTCGATAATCGAACCAGTGTGTTATGATATTGCGTATATAATTGCAGAAAAGCCCCTGTCATATTTATTTCCCGTAAAGAAGTCTTAAATATACAATAACACCGTCAAGCAGTATTATATATGATTCTAGGAAAATTTCTTACTTGAAAAGCGAACATGATGGTTAAATATATCGGTGGTGATTCGTTTATACTATATATCAGTTTTCGCGATTTCTCAATATCCAAATTCTTATCTGATGCAGAAGTCTTAGAATCATTTGAATTTGTAGACTTTAAACTGGATTTTTCCTGAAAATTCGAGATGTCCAAAACAATATTTCCACATTTTTCACCTTGTGCACAGTTTGAAATTAGTCGTTTAAAGCTGTCTTTACTAATTCCGTTTTGAATGGTATAGATATTCTTTAGCTTGTGCTTCAAATCATCACCTCCACGAAAACTATTGTTCAAGATTTCTTTATTTACACTGTTATGAGAAAATGTATTCACATTATCATTGACATTCGAATTACAAGCCATATTTACAACACTTTTCCGTATCACTTTCTCTGACGCACTGAACAAAAGAATCACATATACTCTCGATTATCTTTACATTATATAATAACTTGCCTTAAAAAATGCATTAAATGATTACGAACGTCAAACAAGATTGACTTTATTGGGTTCTACGATGAATATTCTTAATATAAATTATATGGGTAAATTGACATGGGAAGGTCAGTTCATTGCAAAAAGATGAAAATTAAACGTTGAAAAGTTGAGGTTGAAAGGATTATAAATGAATAATACACACGTGGTTGATGATGTTTTTATTTCTGAAGATAAGTGGCGGGTGGGGCGCGGGAGGTTGGACATTTTCACCTTTCCGCTGATGACGCTATGTAAAAGTGTTTAACATTAAGACATTTTTTTTAAAATTTCCAAATAATTTGTAATCTTTACTTGGTGCATTATTTCTTAGACACGAATCAACCGGTGCTCAACAAGGGCTCTAAACTCATACGTCCAGAAAACTTTATTGGTTCCATTATAATAGCTAATTGGGCACTCACATGAAATGAAAAGTGTGATTAAAATCCATTTGTAAACGCACCTAACGCAATCCATTCAACATTTTGTTTTATAAATTGTAACCTATTCCATCCATGTAATGGGGTGCATGTGAATTGCTAGTTGGTAACTCGTGGCTGTTTGTGGGTCGCGAACTGAACTTTTGATCTGCGAATATCTGCGATCGTTTGAGTTGGATCTCCGAAACGGGAATTGTTCAGCTAAACTAATCGGTTATAGTATTCACATAGAAATTTGATCCTTCTTAGCCATGTGTATCCATGTTTATAATTATCTGTGTTTTAAAAAGACAAGGTTTTTCATTATTAAGATCGGTTAAAGACGTCACGTGTAAGCAGTAGAGTCACTCATCTTGTCCAACTTCGTTTACGCCAAAGATAGTACTTCTGAATACTATTTACACATAATCAATCCCTGAAATTGGCGAATCTTTCCCTTTAAGCAAACGCAATCCGTCGTGGTTTGGTCATGTGTTTTCCAGATCTGATTCGATTATGAATGTAAAACATAGTGAAAGCAACCCAATCATGCATGATACATAAAATGAGTAAATACACAGTAGACTTATGTTATTTGTAATAATCCATAGGAAGCGAACAATCATATTATGATAAAAAAATTACAGGTTGTACGAACTGACGTATTAAAGTGTTTAAATAAGTTAAAGGGACATTCCTTTTTTTTCTGTGGATCGAAATTTTTTTGCTAAAATTTTTGAAAACTAAACCCCAAAATTTAGCGTAAGTGTCCAAAAGCGTATCTGAGAGTTTGAACTAAAAAAATTCAGCCGTTAATGTTTTAACTCCAAAACCATTTAGAAACATTACGTAAGTTTGCGTAAACTTTTAAAGATGGGTTCCCTTAAATTCAATTTATGAATAGAAAGCAGAGGTGTTAAATGACTTGGAAAAATATCAGTTTGTCTCACAAGTCCATAATGAATTCATAATAAGCTAAATTAGAAGAGAATTACTAGCAGAATTCCAATGAGTGACCGATCAAGAAAGGTCAAAAAGTATTTTTTGTTTATCCAGACTGTACATACATGGACATTTATGATTGGTTAAAGTTCTTAATCATATATAATGATATGATGAAGAATACGTGATAATTCATTAGAAACACCAATTAATCAAATAGTTTGCTGAATTTGACGCTAAAAAAAAGGAAACCAATCTTTGATGTGTAAACTATTTTGAAAGTTTGTGCTTCGTTATGCTTTTTTGGAAGTTTTTTGGAAATTACTGATCGAATTCAACTAAAATAAAGGCCTAATTGTACTGAAATATATCTCCTACGTATTCCAAAAGTTTACGGATTATATATTTTAATTAAATATTATCCAATAATTCCAAAATCTTATAACGCATATTTTTCTCATTTTTTGGTCCATCTCGTGATTGTAATTATTTGCTTGGTAATGTTGATAAAGGCAGTCGGTGCAGTATTTTTAGTCAATCACCACGTACTCTATATTTTAAGTGTATATGTACGCCCTTACAAATAAAATATAACCCACATGATACCAAATTTTAGTGTTTACGTGAATTGTGTCCTTCATAATGTTTCTGGAAACGAGGCATCCAGATTATCATTATAATAGATTTGTAAACAATGAAAATCTTAATGAAAATCTTAATGAAAATCTTTTCGGAAAAATAATTAGGGCGAAAAAGTGTGAAATAGAAATATTTATTCCTTCTGAATGAGGTAAAACTAATTTACAAACCCTTTAACATAGGGTTACTATATATTTACTGTACTATAGACAAGGCGCATTGGAAGCAATTGAATCACCTTTGAAACGACGACCAAATATTTTTAAGTATTTCAAATTCACCCTTTTTGCCTCATTTTAACTTGATTGCGTAGTTATATTACCTGCCCTTTACTTCATACATCGCAGACTTGGCTTGTATAGTAGGCCCTATTTAGTTATGAATTGGAATGGCGGCTAGTGTTTTCATCAAACGAATGTGAGACATTGGAATAACATAAGAGACGGGTTTACGTTTAATAAACATGTAAAGAATGGCATGCACATGTATTATATATGTGTATTTCTATAACACGACTCGGGAGGGATCTATTAATTCATTCATATTTAACACGTCTGTGTTGAGCAAAAGATACACAGATGACTAAGGCTACTGCTTGAAAGTATAGCTTGAACAAATATAACGGTGTGAAAGAGGGAAAACGTCTATTGAATTCTGTTTATTATATCATATTTAATAAATACCGTCGCTGATAAGGGGGTAGTAAGCATCAGCTTCAAAGCAAAAAGGATGGTGGTAAAACGAGAGTCTATCGAGACGTATTTTTTGCGTTTAAATTAGTCGAAATCATAAACTTGCGAGCACATTGATGTTTGATGTTTTAATTTCTTAATACCCTTGTGTATTCATCGTATATCAAACATGCCACAGAGAAATGCTATCCTTTCTTTCTGTGATATAATATGGGATGGATATCTTTTGAATACTGTTATTTAGTGTTTATCACTTGTTTACAAGTTCATAGACAATGACCTTTAATTGTGCTAGATTCTCCAAGGATTTCGGAAAAGGATGTAAAAAGTAGTCATTAAAGTCACTGTGTTAAATACATATATTAAATGTATATGGGACCAGTTTTTATTATCGTAACAATGAAAACGATTTTCACGCGGAGAGTTTTTTTAGAATGACAAAAGGGCAGTAATTTCTGTAGCGACATTATAGGTTCCTGGACCGATCTCCGATCAATATCACTGTGACAACCCGGCTGTAATGAAAATGATATACAAGAGTTTTAAGAAGTAAAGTTTATATATAAAGATGTCATGAAACGAGTATTTGGTTTATTTCAGATTGAATGCGAAATTACCACTGATAATATACATCATGAAGAGTGTTTGGTGGATTTTTCTCCACCTTCAAATAATGGTCTGTATAGCAGGGAACAAGGATGATTACGAGAGATTAACAAACCATCTTTTTGGTAACTACAATCGTGAAAGACGTCCTGTTTTATATGACACGGATGTCGTGGATGTTGTTGTCAAATTTAATTTGATATCCATCAATGAATTACAAGAAATTGAACAAACTTTGGTTACGTATGGTTATATTGGATTGTTTTGGAACGACTACTTTCTCTCATGGAATTTTACTGAGTATGATATAGAATACTTGGTTGTTCAACAAAGCAAAGTATGGATACCTGACGTTGTCGTAGGAAATTCTGTGAAGCAAACGAATACTCTTGGATTTAAAGAACATCTCCTTCGTATCACTTCGGATGGCAATGTTATGTGGTACCCGACGATGGTGTTCTCAAGCGCTTGTGATGTAAGTATCAGATACTATCCATTTGATACGCAAACTTGCATCATACAACTAGAAACCTCCACATACCAAAACTCAGAAATCACATTTACGATAGAGGAAGAGATTGTAGACTTGTCTGAATTCAGTCCAAATGGAAAATGGAATTTAGTATCAACCGCTGTTAAAAGGGGAAATTCAATCTACAAGGATATCGCCAACATTCAATTGACAATGAAAAGAAGATCGGCATTTTATGTCTTGAATGTCATACTACCTATCATTCTGTTGTCATATATGGGATCTTTGGTATTTGTATTACCAGCTGACTCTGGTGAGAAAATGTCGTTGGCTGTCACAATTCTCCTAGCCTATGTGTTGTTTCTAACTTTAATATCGGACAACATGCCACAAACATCTTTACAGACATCTATATTAGCTGTTTATCTTAGCATATTGGTTGCAATGAGTACATCGTCTGTGGTATTTACATCTCTGGTCCTGCGTTTCTATCATAAAAGTATGGCTCTACCTATCCCCAAATTAGGTATCCTCATGGTCAAAATCATGAGATGTGGACAGAAAAACAACACCAATAATGCAGCAGTGTCCCCTGTTGGTGATGGAGAAGTTAAACAGTATATTGAAGTAGATGAGGAAGAAGAAGATAAAGTTACATGGATAGATGTTTCAGCAGCCTTGGATACAATATTTTTCTTTATATCAATTTCTGTTACATTGGTAACGTTCATTGTATGTTTGGTTATGTTGCTTGACGGATAGTTTGATAATTATTTTATCTTTTATTCCAGTTGTTTGTCCGGACGTCCTCAGTTGCTATAGCCGCGATGTATTTTGATGAAACTTGACATACATTTGCTTATTGATGACTATGATTATAACGCATTTATAAAGAATATTTCTTGAGTGATCACCCTTGAAGTACGTCGCAATTAATGTATGCTTTGTTTTCATCGTTTATGAAATTTGATGCTTTGTATATTATTAAATCTATAATGAGTGTGTTAACGTGATATGTTGTTTAACAGTTTCAGTGTTATAGCTCCTGACTTGGCCAAAGTACGTAATGATTTGTTTATGGTCAGGATGTCTGTTTAGATATTGTTTTGCTGTTATTGTTATATCGACACTTTTTATTCATATATCATCATTTTTGCTTGTTTGAAATAAATATCAGCAGTTAATTGGCCCATTTACACCATATAATATCAAATTAATAAGAATAGAATTATTTTAAACCTTAAATATATTTAGTTAAATGTATTTAAAGATAATTCTATTTATTTTATGCACCAACTAACAATTAACTAGATATATTTATCTGTACTGTAATTGAAATTCTATTTTCCATTCGAACCACACACTATACACAATTTATATATGACAAAAGAGTGTAAAGATTGGTCACTAAGATATATTTCTTATTTAACATTTTAATCACTGCTGTATGTAGTGTGGATGTCTTGTAGTCCGAAACTCTATAGACTATCATCTGGTGTCTTACAGCTTTTATGACAATTATCAACAAGAGTAAGATCAAACGATATCTTTAATTCTTTCTATTCTTCGAATGAGCAAATGAACGTCTTAATAAATTTGATTTGGAATCCATGTCATGTTTCATTTTTTGCAAAATATGCCAGTTAAATTCGTCACTTTCAGATCGCCTGAAGGGACATTTCGGATTGCCTAAACGGACATTTCAATCACGATAAATATCGCGAATTTCGTTTTCTGCCCAAAAATGTTTGTATATAAAGCTCCAGTTGATTTAAAAGCGTTACTCAACATGGCCGGTTGACGTGTTCTGTCAATTTTTCAGCATATGAAAAAGCTTCTGAGTGAATAAGCAAAAAATCACCAAGATGTTTACAACCCCAGCAAAGGTTCTGCAGCAAGGAAGAAAAAGGACTTGGCATGGAAATCCATATACGAAGATTTCAATATGGACTCGTGGCATCGACTCTCTTAAAATATGCCTTAGCAACCTAACCCCCAAAGCTAAGCAGAAAGACGCAGCTAGAAAACGAGAGGTTCGGAAACAGGGAGAGGGCAAGAGCCTACAACATCTGTCAGAATATTAAAGATTCCTGTCCTCAGACGTTTGAACCTTTATACACTTGTTCTAGATAGATGATGACGACGAAAGCCATGTGAAGGGGTCCAGGCGATCCTTGTCTATTGATGGGTTGATTTCACCAAGTTCATCTAATTCGTCGAAATAATCATCCATTTTGAAACATCGTAGAGCCACAAAAGGAATTTCTACTGATTTACAAATAGAATTAAAAGTTTAAACTGGTCTCGACCAACTTTCAGTTTAGCATTAATACATTTAAGGTGATTCTATGTGTTGCATACAAAATATAGAATAAACTTAACAGTTAATGTTATTCGGGCAGAATAGAATTAAATTAGGTTTAATTTCATTTGGTGCATATGGGCCTTTATCTTCGTGTTAAAGATTCCAGAGGGCTTATGATTTAAAAATTACGAAAGTTACTTCAATCTTTAACGCTTGTGGCTAAATTCTGGGAAATTGAATTTCAAGGATACTATTAAGTTTAGATTATAAATTAATTACTAATCATTAAAATATTCAAAATATTGTTTTAACGGTGCCATTTTCTTATCCATTTTTTTCTGGAAATTAGTTGAATTTTATTGTAAGCATTAAAGTCATTTCTTGAAAATGGGGGACTGTTACTGGTCACCTACCTACATGGCTTGATGTTGGAAGCTCTGTAGGTGGTTGCAGACGAACTAAGAGAAGAAATATCCGGTGATGTAAGTAAATCCGATTTAGTCAATTCATTGCAAGGAACTTAGGAATTGATGACGTTCTTAATGAAGATATTGGCAGCAATGCGCATTGACTATCGAAAAGTGAATATTACAATCGTCACAGATTCTTTTCCTATCCCAAGAATAGAGAACTGCATAGACATAGTTGGGAGTATTCTGTCCTATGGCTTTACAGATAGATAACAAGACCGCCACTTCTTAAATTCAGAACTTCATTCAAAGTAGACGATCATTATTGTAAAAAACTGTAAAATACAAAATAACACAAAAGTTACACTGAGAAAATCAAATAAAAGATATCCTTCTTTAGGATTTAAATGTTAGTTTCAAAATTCGATTGAATGACAAATCAAGTCTATGACGACACACAATATAGATCAAAGAACACTGCGAGATCAAAGGTCAATCTTGCCGATCGACCAACAAGGGAACTCAAAATTCGCAAAAACTATTATTTTGATCGTAGCTAAACTCTCGTGAAGGTAAAAGTAAGCACTTCTAAGTTCGGTTGAAACAGATTACTCACACGCTGGTTGCTGTTTATGTTCGATAAATTCAACTAGTTGAGAAAACTTGATATTTTGCAATGTGTTTCCGGTTGTACTGGGTTCGTTGTACCTCCCGAATCAGAAGAGTTCCCTACTCGATTAACCTGATCGCGTATTAAAGGAATACGGCACAGGGAGAATCACTAACGTTACCGAGAAAGATATAGAAAGGGCTTACTGACATATCGCTAACTGAAAGTGCAAAAAGATCCATGCATTTGCTTCACCAGCCGAACTTTTTCAATGTCAAACCTTCCAGTTGTCGTTCGTTCACTGAAGTTAAGCAACGCCTGGCTAGATAAGTACTAGGATGGGTTACCGTCTGGGAACACCGAGTTCCTTTATGGTCCTGTATTAAACATTTTATCCACAAAGCCCCGCCAGAAACATTCATAAAGCATATCTACGGTCATGGCTGATGTACTTTTTGCTAATTGGTTTTCGTAAATATACTGATCAAGAGTATTCAATTCGTTGAGGAGAATTTTAAGGAACTTCAAGATATAGCGTTAAGATTTACAGAAAGATTTTATAGTTAATTAGTTTTATTATGTACATACACTACATACAAGGGTTAAAATGAAAATTGAACTATGAGGATTCTTTCTTTTTGGAGTAATCTGGTAGTATGGGACAGTATTTAGCAAATTTTGATTTTTTGATACAATCTGGTATGAATGGTACGTCATATATTTCCATTCCTTCTATGTATTCCACTTTCTCCCCCTTTAAACTTTCTTCACCTTCAGCAAACGCCTCCAAACCTCGAGATTCTTTTGTTCCTACAAAAAAATCGAAAATATATTTTTGCACATGGCATAAACTCCCATGGCAGCAGTTATTTTTTTATTCAAATGGTATGAAATCTCAATCTCACCTTCCGGCGTACTGACTGTTAACAATCGCTAATTTTATGAATTTTATGTTTTTTTTGTGAATAATTTTCATCTCAAGGAAGATAATTTAAACCATCGTTTTTTATAATATTGTTTTACCATTAATTGTTTCAAACAATTCAGGTTATTGTACTAACCTGGTACGGTGTTGTCTAAGAAACACGATACCACACCAGCAATAAATATACCGTTTGATATTAACATTGTTAAAACTCTATCTACTTCTTCTACACCTGTAACAAAGTTAATCAACGTAATTTATCAACCAGCTTCCAAAAGTACACAAAAAATTGTATTCCATCCCTTTAACATAATACTTCGGGAGAATTATCAGTATTGTCACTATTATACAGTGACAAGGGAGATAAATGAAGCCCCTTAAAAATAAAAAAAACCTCAAAAAACATAAACACCATTTGAATATTATCCGAGAATTATATATATACAGATATAAGTCTTCTGTCTTCCGGTCATATAAATAAAAGTTTCTAAATACACATACCTGTTTCTATACCCTTAGGATTCTTCTTAACCCAATATGGCATCATAAATCCCAATAAAATACTGATCCCGAGGATAGCTAGATTTCTGGTACAATTCAAGTCTATAAACTGTAGCTGAGATAATACCACACCAAGAAAGATCCCAAAATATAACAACATTGAACCTCCTAAAACACTGTATGGTATAGTTATAAAAGCTGCATTCACTTTACCCAAAATAGCAAACATAATGTAAATACCCGCTAGAACAACAAATATCCTTCGACTTGCGGACTGAAAATATAAAAAAAAACAAATATATTGAACATCACAGTATTTATCTGATAAACACAAATTTCGACTGAATAAGGAATTACTGTTATATACGCTCATAAAATTTTGCTATAATCTCATTATGCATACAATATTAAAATCTGCAAATAGGTGCAACCAAACCTTCGAAGTTAATATTTTTCTTGTCTATAGAATACCTACTTTTTAGTGCTTTTCAGGAATTTGGAATAAAAAATAAATATTGATGATAACCTTTGTTATTCCTATAGCACCGATGTTGCCTCCGTATGAGTTTGTAGCATGACCTGCCCCAGTCATTCCAGCAAAGAAACTCATCAGACCTTCCCAAAATATTCCCCTGTTCATAGCATGTGCTGGTGGGAAGGGCACATGGCACATCCTAGCACAGGCATTATAATCACAGATGGAATCAACAACTGACATTATTGTCGCTACAATTGCTCCTACGAATGCTGCGGCATCAAACCTGAATGCACCAAATTGTCCTGAAATTAACAAAGATAAATATTAATAATTGATATGTGTGTTGAAAGCGGAGATGAGTATGCAAGCTTCTGGAACACATGATGGCACAAACTGCAATTATTTATTTTTTTACGTTCATTTGTAAATATAGTTACGCCATACTAACCTGGATAAGGGAAGTAAAACCAAGGATTCGTTGATAAAATACTATTTCTAGCATCTGTTCTGGCATAAAATTGGACACTATTAGGATCATTTGATAATACTCCAGTAGATGTTAATACGGCACTTAATATCCATCCTATTATCACAGATATTAAAATCTGAAAATACATACGATTCTTAGATAACCTAGGACAGAGGTTTGCAGATGGATCTTAAGGTATAAGTTTTGGGTGTAAATAATTTGTAGAAATTTCTGGAAATCTGATTCTCATTCAAACTGAGATTTCTGCACCATGTGGACTAATGAAGACGGGCAACGCCATGTATGTTACAAGTAGTGAAATTTTGCCAGGACAGCGACATTTGTCTGCTCTTTTTCGATTTCCAACTGTCGACGTGCACAGCCTGTAGCACACGGGGCCTCGGTTTATTATCCCACCCGAATGACTAGACGATTTTTCCATGTCAGCCCCTCTTACCTGCATCACAGACAAGGGAAACCAGGTTGAAAAATCCGAAGGTATCATCTTGACTTATGCCGGGACTATACCAATTCTAGACGAGTAACTTCTGTAGTTCCACACTAAATTTATGGCAAATATCATTGCGATACCATAACATGATTTTCAGCGAGTGCATGATTAATATGATAAAAACCAAAAATGCTTACAGAAAAAACCTGATGCAAAGGATACCACATGATATGAAAACCACGACTATTATTCCAGAATGGTATAGGTGTACTTCTATTGGCGAGATATAATGAGAATATAATACCAAATGCTGACGTTCTGAAAAAAAAACAACAACAACGCAATTGATGATAATACAATTTGATTCGCTAAGAAATGAGAACAAAAGAGCACCGAGTATTCTTGTGGCACAATTATTATGACTGACGTTATAGTTATGCGATTTTCGAAATACTTGAGTTACTGGGATTGCTTAATTGTCTTTCCAATAGCTTAATCAATTAAACAACGAGAATTATCAACATCGAAAGCATTTATATGCCAAACTTCCTCAAATTGAACGCTTTTAAAGATCACTACAAATTTATGAATATATCAAAGAAACCAATAGCACATACACGGCAGCACTTCCCCAATAAGTTTCAGCAAAATCAACAGTGACATTGTGTACATATAATACTACCATAAATAACGATGGTACTATTGTAATTGGTCCAACAAACTTAGCAATAACCCCAACCAGACCAGTTAATCCTATTAATATATGTATTCCACCAGCTACCATTAAACTACCTTGTAACTAAAAAATTTATTGAAATTCATTACTGTTTTGTATATTGGAAAATATAAAAAAAACCTTGAGTAGTGTCCTACTTTGCTGCACATGGTATAGATATAAGTGCATTGACACTGGCATCTCCAAAAAAGGGCGGAGGGGGCTAAAATTTAAAAAAAAACTGTGGAAATGTGCATATTTTTATTGTATAATACCAATCCAAAATTTTACAGCTGCCATTGAAAAAATATTGGCCCGTATGCACTAAATAAAATTAAACTTAATTTAATTATATTCTGCCGGAATAACATTAAATCTTAATTTAATTCTATATTTTGTATGCGCCACATAGAATTACCTTAAATGTATTTAAAAATTGGCTAATTTAATGCTTAACTTAAAGTTGGTCGAGACCAGTTTTAACTTTTAATCCTATTTGTAAATCAGTAGAAATTCCTTTAGTGGCTCTACGATTTTTCCAAATGGACGATTTACACGAACTTGGTGTAATCGACCGTGTTAATCCCATCGATAGACAAATCTGGGATCGCCTGGACCCCTTCACATGGTTTTCTGAGGAGGAATTTAAAGCAAGGCTTAGATTGAATAAGCAATCGGTGATGAATATCACTAATAGTTTGCAAAAATGAAACATGACATGGATTCCATATCAAATTTATTATGACGTTCATTTGCTCCTTCGAAGAAAAGAAAGAATTAGACACCAGATGAGAGTCTATAGAGTTTCGGACTACAAGACATCCACACTACATACAGCAGTGATTAAAATGTTAAATACGAAATATGTCTTAGTGACCAATCTTTAAATATGTCTTAGTGACCAATCTTTAGACTCTTTTGTCATATATAAATTGTGTATAGTGTGTGGTTCGAATGGAAAATAGAATTTCAATTACAGTACAGATAAATATATCTAGTTAATTGTTAGTTGGTGCATAGAATAAATAGAATTATCTTTAAATACATTTAACTAAACATATTTAAGGTTTAAAATAATTCTATTCTTCTTAATTTGATATTATATGGTGCATACATGCCAATATCATTTAACTGATGATTTTACCTTTTCTAAATGACCATATATTACCTCCCTTGGAACAGGTAATCTGCCATGAAGATCTGTCATATTTGTGGTATAGTTTGAGTAGTAAGACACTAAAAAATATTAATCGAAAATTAATTGATTGGTGTAGGAATCCAGCAAACCGGATTACTATACGTGTAAGATAACCAACATTTTTTAACTTGGTTAAAATGAGTCTTTGTTCATCAGAGCACTTATACTAGTGTCATAAAATACAAAAGAATCCCTCTATAATCCAATAAATCCACAAAGCTAAGTAATGATTAATCAAACTTTATGCTAGGTTTACATTATGTTCCCGACGGCCACGGTAATCACGGTTCAGGCCTTCGTAGGGAAACGGGATGAACGTGAGACAATGCGGGGTGACGGGAAACGCAAACTGTGTCAATCTGTAATTGCCATGGATGCTTGCCGGAATTTTAAACTGTTACAAAATTTAGCACGACAGTCACGACAGCCACGGTGCGGATGAGAAACATAATAGGCCGTAGCAAAATTGTGTAAACGCTATGTTTTTACTTAGTGTAAACCTAGCATTATAGGCATGGCTAAATAATATAAATATATAGGCTACATATGTTGACCAAGATTGAAGCCTTCTAGTTACGGGTATTCTGAAAATTTGAAGTGAGCAAAGAACTTTAAATGAATATTAGCCTACCAAGGTCTTCTTTTGATGGGCATGACCATTCCTGCAGTTGAGCTAGTCCCAGCAGGGGCACCACATAAGTGGAACTCGGACCTTGGAATATCGGTAGCCTACAATGTTGTATTAATAAATCAGTAGCATTACAGTGGCTCAACTATCATAGGGACTGGTTGAACCAAGTCCACCGACCAACACCCCTATGAGGGTCCCAATCTCTAGGAAAAAAAATTAAATAAGAATGTTCCTATGTAATATTATGGGCTTACTTAAGAAAATGCGAAAATGTCAGCTATGACTGTTTCCTGGGGATCCTAATGCAAAAAAATTGCTAAGACTATTGTACTATATATATACAGTTTAAGATAACTGTAGGCCTACATCTAGTTTTGTTATCAGAACAATTTTTTATAATTAAATTCACCATGAGTATAGATATCGAGCTGTAGATTAATCGGTAAAATTAAGTATATATTTTCGAATAATTCAAGTATGAATAAAGATAACAAATTATGACAAAGAAATCGAACCTCACTATTACAGTAATACACAAAGTACTAGTCTGTAGCTGAAATGTAAAAATCCACAACACCAATACTAAACTGGGTTGATAGAACCGCCTGTCAATCTAGATCAATTTGTGGAATATTTGGTGGCTTGTTTAGTCGAATTACCAGTTGATCAAAAGAGATTTTTTCCAGCCTTAATATCTGTATCATGGACATGTGGCTTCTTCGAGTACCATTCGGATTTCCCGTTCTAATTAAAAGTATCATTTAAACTAAATAGAGGAGCTAGGAATCCATTTAAAATGATATGTATGATGTATTTATTTATGGCTTATTAAAATGAAATTAAATTAGGCGTAATAAAAGCGCGATAGAATTTTCAAAATCCAATTAACCTGAGAATTATTTCTATCTATTACTTATAGACTATATAACCAACTTTAGCGTCTACGAATATTACATTATCAAAATACATCGTGCTTTGAATAGAATCTGAATCGAAATACATTTTGGAGAAGTTGATCGATCACTGCACTAAACATAACATTTTCATAAATGCAGTCTAATTGATTTTCGTTCCGTTTTTTATTTTTAATGTAGTGGCAACATTAAAAATACAAGCTAATAGAAACGAACGAAAGTGTGGCCTTATTTTATTCAGACTGACATAAATGGTAATATGAAATCCTAGTACATGTATATATTTTATATTGACATGTCGGGGCGCAGTAATTAGGTCACAGGAAATTCGGTCACCGGAACTTTGGTCACAGTAAAAAGGTCACACGGTAATTTGGTCACAGTAATAAGGTCACATGGTAATTTGGTCACAGTAATAAGGTCACACGGTAATTTGGTCACAGTAAAAAGTCACACGGTAATTTGGTCACAGTAAAAGGGTCACATGGTAATTTGGTCACAGTAATACGGTCACAGTAATACTGTCACAAGGTAATTTGGTCACAGTAAAAAAGTCACACGGTAATTTGGTCACAGTAAAAGGGTCACATGGTAATTTGGTCACAGTAATACGGTCACACGGTAATTTGGTCACAGTAATAAGGCCACACGGTAATTTGGTCACAGTAATATGGTCAAGGCAAAACTAGTAAAATGAAATTACTGGTAACTGGTGTAGTGATATTTATTTCATAATACATAATATAGTGTTCTGCTTGCCCTCTGCCAGAGATGGGTGGACCTTGTGGGGCCCTGAACGGTCGAACAGTATTTGGTATACCTGTCAATCTGCAGCTATATAGTTATTGCTGATACAACCCGCCACCGGTCTGCCTTTTAAGCTTGCAAGCCATACCACTGTTTAACTTTTGCCGACTCTCGCCATTCCAAGTTACAGAATTCTCACTCACTGAATGCAGCCTGTGAAATCATCCAGTATTGACTTCAGCAATGAAGTTGATTTAATATGTATTTTATATATAATCTCCACTACTCATAAATTTCCGTGCCCGTACCAACAACGTGAGCGTTTCAAAGCAGATTCTTTTCGATTTTCAGGTGGGGGTAGGGTGAGATGCTTCGCACGTATCTCACGTATCTGAGGGGCGCCCATCTCATCCTACCCGAAAATTGAAAAACGCTCAGGTCATTGGGACAGGCGTGGAAATTTACGAACAACGGTGCTAATATATACGAGCGGACGCCCACATGGCTATACGCCCACCAGCAGCAAATCTCATCGCGGCTTTCGCCTTTTAAATAGCATCACTACTTCCATGTAGCCAATATACACAGGTAAACTAAATTTGAATTAAAAGTCAATTTCAATAAATTTTGTGCTAAGTCGGGGGCAAAGTCACGAACCTACTTAAGTTGTGACATTGCCCGTCCTCCACCATTTATTGAATCTAGTTATCAACTACAAGCGGTTGATATGAATAAGATGACCAACACCACTGAAAATGGGTAATTTTACTGTGACCAAATTACTATGTGACAGTATTACTGTGACCAAATTACTATGTGGCAGTATTACTGTGACCAAATTACCGTGTGACTTTTTTACTGTGACCAAATTACCGTGTGACAGTATTACTGTGACCAAATTACCATGTGACCTTTTTACTGTGACCAAAATACCATGTGACCTTTTTACTGTGACCAAATTACCGCGTGACCCTTTTACTGTGACCGAATTTCCGTGTGACCTTATTAATGTGACCAAATTACCATGTGACCGTATTACTGTGACCAAATTACCGTGTGACTTTTTTACTGTGACCAAATTACCGTGTGACCTTTTTACTGTGACCAAATTACCGTGTGACCTTTTTACTGTGACCAAATTTCCGGTGACCGATTTACCTGTGACCTAATTACCTACATTCGACATGTCAATAGATGTCGACTTTAAACTAATATTTATAAAGCGGTTATCTTTTAAGACTAGTGATATTCAATCCAGATATGGGGATGATTAAATTTTGATATCGACCACTTTCTGAATCGATTATGGTTTAATGAGACACTCAAGTTCTACGACTATCTATACCAATGTATATGAACAGTAGAGGATCATAAATTGTTAAAAATTAATAAATCAAAAATGAAGGTATAATATGATGAGATATTCACTTATAATAAGGTCTTACTCTGTCAATCTTTTCATGAGAATATGGTTATCATTATTGTTATATATAGACTTGAAAACCGACAATTCGACCAACAACTAACCTAATATGGTGTCGTTGTGAAATGCAATTCTCGTCAGTAAAATGCTCTTACACAAGTCTTCTATCTCGAAAGAGATATGCAGAGATCTTATATAAATATTTTGTCATTTGCTTCACGACGATAAACTTTTTGTATTGTGTTTTTTTTCCATTATCTTCTGAAACCTAGTCCAGTTTTTTGATGCCATGTTGATGCATGGATGTTAGTCATAATATAATAATAGTAATATATACAAAATCGCTACAAGGCTGTTTACATTTACAATATTCCAACTCACCTAACGCCTACTAGTACCATTAATAATGTAGCACAACCTGACATAAAAAATGTAGTGCCCAGTAGTTTAGCTTTGATTTCATCATCATCTCTAGCACAGACCAACTCTGCTACTAATAGAGACACTGACAGGGATGTTGAGACTGGAAGTAGGGCTTGCTGTAAATAGAATCAGAATGTGAATCTGTAACTAAACTAAGACACAAGAAAGTTTCAAAGCTGGTCTGCTTGTACGGAGTTCTACGATAAATGTTCAAATCGGCATAAGCCGGGCATAAATTAAACTGAGACATTTATTTTCATTCGTTGTCTAATTCTATTTGTAAAATTCACAGAAGACAAACAAATGTAGGCATGTCCTTATTGCTGATGGTTTAATATCTAAAACATCTTGTGAAAAACTAATGGTTTACCTGTATGGCAAGTACGAACAACACAGGCAATGATGGTTTGTCAGTAACACTATAGACGAGTGGTTTTGATTTTCCTTTTCTTATTACCTCATCTAGGTCCACATAATTAGATTGAGGAGGGGGACACATGTAGCCTCGAAGTCTTTCTGAGAGACATTCCAGTTCAATATAACAATTAGACATAGCAACCATAATTGGATCATATTCTACTACATGTGCAAACACATACTGTATACTACCTATTTAATTCTAAAATCTTGTTGAGAATATAAATGAATATTATACGAATAAAAATCGATAGTGTCTGGACAATAAACCAAATTTTATCCATATGTTACATTATATTATGCAAAGTAGTATAAAACTTCATTTCAGTTGATCATCATATTAGGAATTTCATCATTATTTTAAAACCAATTTCAGCTTATTCTTAAAATACTAATTTACTTTAATGTATATCGCCCTGCATCGCACACTATTTTAAAGGAACAGATGCATATATATAATATCTATCAGAACATAATTATAAAAACCGTCATGTGATGTATGTTAAAGTGGAAAGCATGATCAGACCAGGCCTTAATGTCTCTCTTTTACCCTGTATGGATGTCAATTATAATAAAATAACATTCAATGCAAATGCAAAGTTTTATCAGTTTAAATTTCATGATAGATAGGCTGGGCTTCACGTGTTTACAAGAAACTGATAATATTCTGAATTTTTACTCTATATAATTCAAAAGCTAATAACACTAACTTTGCAAATATTTCAAGCGAAAGTAAAACCAGAGATTATAATCAATGATTAGAAAGTATGATAATGTAATTCAATCAATGTGAAATGTGAATAAATATACTGATACATATATACAAATCACTTGTATCAAATTAATTGAAATACTGATAATCAATTGTCTTGAACTCTGAAAAAGTGTAAAATGATGTGATCTACTGTGACGGACAGGCAAGGATTTGGGGTAGAGGTTGGAGGTAAAACTTACCTGAATTGCGAGTAATAATGTTAGATGTATTGGGGGACTATCTGTAACACTGTAAACAAGGGGTCGGGGTTTTTCAATAACTATTTCAACTTTTTCAGTGGCAGCGTTTTCCTTATCTCTGGAATGATCACCATTTATCTGAAAGTCACTTTTATATCCAGTATTAACAGAGGAGTCGTGTAAGTCTTCCGAACTGTCAAATCCAGCGTTCCCTTTACCACCTTCCTGGATTTTTTTCATCCCCACAAACTCGATTGGTTTAGATTGAGACATTATCGATGTTTACAAAATCGCGATAGGTGTATCAAAGTAAACAAGAAGCTGAATATCTTCTAGTTAAATAGATAAAGACGATTTGACTTCAAACTCTGAACTGATATTTACAAAGGCTTAAAACTTAGTGATCAGTCAAAAGTTTTCATTGTTATGTAAATATACGGAAACGTATGACAAGGTCAAAACATTATTTCATTATCACTTGTTTTTATCTTATCTATTTTTATTGTATTTGACGATTCATTGTTATACTTTTAAAGTTGTAAATTCATTTTCATTTATTGGCAATTTATCGAAATCACATAAAAACAATCTCTAGGTACTTTCTGGGGTTGATGACAAAATGTCTCTAATGTGAACTGCATCAATATTTGATGTTGCGGATGTCTCTAACGATGCTTTTAACGCCAGATGTTTAGTTGGTCGACCCTATGTAGACTAAAGAAATGGAACGACTTTCACATCAGATTTCACATCAGAGTTTTCTGTCCCTAAATGGTCTAATGAAGACGGACGTTCTTTTCGGAGGGTGTTATTTAAAATCTTACCAGTCTGACCTTTCGGGTCCTTTCGACCTCTCAGTGTTCGTAAAATACAAAATAGTTGATCGCATTCTATTATTATCCAGTACTCTATCATTCAAACGAACATGAAAACTTGAAGTATTACTCTATCATTCAAACGAACATGACTTGAAGTATTACTCTATCATTCAAACGAACATGAAAACTTGAAGTATTACTCTATCATTCAAACGAACATGAAAACTTGAAGTATTACTCTATCATTCAAACGAACATGAAAACTTGAAGTATTACTCTATCATTCAAACGAACATGAAAACTTGAAGTATTACTCTATCATTCAAACGAACATACGAACATGAAAACTTGAAGTATTACTCTATCATTCAAACGAACATGAAAACTTGAAGTATTACTCTATCATTCAAACGAACATGAAAACTTGAAGTATTACTCTATCATTCAAACGAACATGAAAACTTGAAGTATTACTCTATCATTCAAACGAACATGAAAACTTGAAGTATTACTCTATCATTCAAACGAACATGAAAACTTGAAGTATTACTCTATCATTCAAACGAACATGAAAACTTGAAGTATTACTCTATCATTCAAACGAACATGAAAACTTGAAGTATTACTCTATCATTCAAACGAACATACGAACATGAAAACTTGAAGTATTACTCTATCATTCAAACGAACATACGAACATGAAAACTTGAAGTATTACTCTATCATTCAAACGAACATGAAAACTTAAAGTATTACTCTATCATTCAAACGAACATGAAAACTTGAAGTATTACTCTATCATTCAAACGAACATGAAAACTTAAAGTATTACTCTATCATTCAAACGAACATGAAAACTTGAAGTATTACTCTATCATTCAAACGAACATACGAACATGAAAACTTGAAGTATTACTCTATCATTCAAACGAACACGAAAACTTAAAGTATTACTCTATCATTCAAACGAACATGAAAACTTGAAGTATTACTCTATCATTCAAACGAACACGAAAACTTGAAGTATTACTCTATCATTCAAACGAACATGAAAACTTGAAGTATTACTCTATCATTCAAACGAACATGAAAACTTGAAGTATTACTCTATCATTCAAACGAACATGAAAGCTTGAAGTATTACTCTATCATTCAAACGAACATGAAAACTTGAAGTATTACTCTATCATTCAAACGAACATGAAAACTTGAAGTATTACTCTATCATTCAAACGAACATGAAAACTTGAAGTATTACTCTATCATTCAAACGAACATACGAACAGACTTGAAGTATTACTCTATCATTCAAACGAACATGAAAACTTGAAGTATAATTTCCCTCAATGTCATAAAACATGTATCATCCATGTAGACTACGATCCGTAATATTGTGCACAAATTCAGATAGAAAACTCATTTACTCTGTTTGATCTAGACATTCATTTCGACAGTTGACATCATTTTACCACCATGTAAGACAAATATGAAAACAAAATATATTAACATGTAAAATAACAGATAGTTCAGATATAAATAAAAAGGTATGTTTTCTTGGTATTCAAACAGGCACAATAAAATGGAATATACGACAGATACAAAAAAAAATAAAAAGAACCATATTAAATATATTTCACCTTTTGGACACAGATTCATACAAACAAAACCATTGTCATTAGTCGTCATCATCCAAGATTAACGTCCAACACCAAGTACAACGAAACCATCGAAATCAGATAGCCGTGATGATCAAATAAAGACTGATATCAATTCGACCTCGAAGACTTAAAAAAATGAGGACAGATATTGAGTGGTGATTACAATACCAACCAATTTCCAACTTTTGATTTAATTCAATCCGACCATTCCATTGAAGACTTGTTAATTATATCAATTGAAAGGATACCACCCATGACAAATATCAAAACAAAAGAAGGAGACTACAGCGCGAGAGTTAATGGATGGGCCAACTTCAGACTGTTCACCCAAATTGCCTAAATATCCAACATGATAATCAGATCATACCCTTTGTTACAACCTACAACAATACCACTGCCAATGTCTTACGTGTCATTAAACGTCATTTTAAGCATCTTCAAGAACAAGAGACTTGTTGCAGCTTACAGGAGAAATAAAAATCTCAGTAATATCCAAGTCTATGCTAGGCTTGTCCCTAAACAGTCTTTTAATACATAAATAAATTAAGACTCGATTTTTTAGCAATTTTCTACCAATTTGTTTTCGCTTAATTAACTTTCTAATATTTCTAAATCTTTGCACCTTTTTTTTTAGAATGAATCTATACTGTGTGCTTTTATGAGACTATGTCACCATCTAACACCAACCAGTAGAGTAGTGTATAAGTTAACAGTAACAAAATGGTAAAACGTGGCCTTAAAGGTACATTAATTTGAGCAAATTCATATAAAGTACTGTCCACATTAACAACATTCTCAGTAACATGTTGAGAAAATACCATTTGGATGAAAAGACCTGTTAGTGTGTAGGCCTACAGTTCGGAAACATTCGGCAGCATGTTGTCTTCGTGTTGAAATGAATACACAAATGCAGTTTTTAAGTCTCGTGCAATCAGCAATTGGCTATATAAATAACATGATGATGTAATGTGATGCAAATAAAATGACAGCCGCCTCCAAGAAATGGTAACAATTTGTCCAACATGTTATTGAACTGTTACTACGTATAGGCTCAGGAACCAATTGTTGCCCTGGTATGTTGCAGAAATGTTGCTCAATATGTTACCGAAACGTTGTCAGTCCAAAATCAGACTATATTAGCACCCAGTCGCCGTGGTAATATAATCAGGGTTAAGCACTAGGTTAAATATAGTAATATGTAATGCATGTGAAAAAACACAAAACAATGTGAATAAAATATATGTTATATAATATTATGAAGTTATAAAAAAGGTATTTATTGATGTTGTAATCTTCGCATTCACGATATTATCATCCAATACCTGCTATATTTCTCTTTTAACTTCCTATATAATACGTGTTTTTCGAATACTTATACGAATCGTGTTTTTATGTATGTAATACTAATGTTCTAACATGCTGTTGCAATTTTCTCTGTTTGAAAAATTACTTAATGTTGTCACGATATGGACAGTTACGGCGCCAGCTTTCCGAGACTGGGGATACAAAAAGGGGACAGACTGACTGTCGGAATTGAAATTCCAAATACAACAGCTCTATGTAAGAGCCCTAAATGCAAGCTCACGTACGTCTGAGAGGGTTCTCCAGACAATAGAGAATTGATTTGGTGTGTTCCGGGACATATTTTTATGGCAAAAGCGTATATAAATCATTTTTTTTTTCAATTTGTCAGAAATGGGTACAATTGGAGAAATATTTTTCTAAAAGGGGGGGGGGGGATTTGCAATCGATCAAGGATCAAGGCCAAAACTCTGAAAATTGATATTTCAAAGATTTAAAGAAAGGTCTAACCGACTGTGCTACAGAATCACATTAAAATCGTCCATCAAGGCAAAGTCAACGTAGATCTCTTTCGTGAATATCGATGGGCAAATGGACATGTAAAAAGTACTTCATAAACGAAGCTTGACATGGCGACTAAGCACTCAAATGCCTATTATCTACCTTTCCATCTTATCTTTTCTGTCGAGAAGGTGTCAGTTTTAATTCATAAAGGTAGATTTGTAGTTGATATCTACAATATGTGACACCATCATCCTATTATAAAACTGGACATTTAATTTCAGTTTAATAATACAACAAAAATAATTCAGAATGTGAGTATTTATTTCTTTACCGAGTAAAAAAGGCCCATGCACGATGTATTTTTCCCCAGAAAATTACTTGCCAAAACAAAGTGCAACATTGTCTGGTAATGAAGTATATCAAAAAGCGACAAGAGATGGTCTTTGAATCATTGCGATACTGAAAGATTTAAAGTATTAGCTGCATTGTACTTTTCAGGACTTTGGCTACATTTATATTCATCTTATCAACTGTGTGCACCGCTACTTCCCAGATGATGCCTGGCATGGGAATGAACCCAGGCATGGGCATGAATCCTGGTATGGGCATGAATCCTGGTATGGGCATGAATCCTGGTATGGGCATGAATCCTGGTATGGGAATGAATCCTGGTATGGGCATGAATCCTGGTATGGGAATGAACCCTGGCATGGGTATGAACCCAGGAATGGGAATGGGACCGACAGGGGTAAGCTCTCTTTAATCTAATCATTATCGTATTTGTATATCATATTTTTGTTATATTAATAATGTTATTATTTTTTAGTCCTCCCGAAATAAAGGCATTGTGTTTCGAATATGGTACTTTTTAAAAAAAACTGTACAATGCTTTACACTAAGCTTTACCCTGGCCACGCACCAAATGAGATATTGTGTGTTGTGTTTATAAATAGAAAGAATTGAATAAATCTTTCATGCGAGTTTTCTGACATAGATGTGCTGTTTTTGCATTTATTTTGTAACCTTCTGCTATTTCATCCTCATCCTGTTTGAAACTGTGTGGATAACTCTTATTGCATCAATGAAAAATGATTATTATGTTCTGTATGTTTTACTGTTATATTGTAGATGTGTCGACAGTTGACTCAGAGATGTAATCTAAGTGATTTGAAATGCTGCCCAGGATTTAGTTGTCAATCCGAAGGAATTTCATCATCCGTCAGATATTGTAGAGCTGTCACTGGTTAAAACGTCAATGTATTCAGTTTGTTGGTAGTTTGCAGATGAAAAATACATTGTAAATGTTTTTTTTCTATAAATCTTTATCGTGAATCTTTCTTTAAGTGTTTAATATTTTCTATGATCCAAAAGATCTTCTGCAACATGTAAAGAAAAAGATTTAAAAATGTCATCGTCGAAATTCCACGACCATCCAGATGCATTGGAAACATAAATATTGGTGAATTTGTCGAATTTGATTGGATTAGATCTTGAAGATACTTGAAGCCAATTATAGATAGCGTCTTCCTCACGAACATTAATGTGTCCAATGCATGGACGGTTATGTGAAATATAACGAAAGAGCAGTGGAATTCCAAAAAGTGTTGAAGGGCAACAAAGATACAAATCTTAATGTTTAAATTCGAGTATTTTTCTGCAATGGTCTCAATTTGCAATCCATTATCTGACGATATTGCTAAGCATTTCAAATGCAATGAAGAAAAAAGAATATGTTAGAAAATATAAATAAACCGAAATACAAGATTTTAAAAGTGAAAAATATCAATCAGGATTATAAAAGGATGAGTATCGAGTTAGTACTGTGGTATTCTCGATAGTCCAATTTTCATCTTTCTACCGAGAATAGATCCAAGTGCTTTAGTCTCATTGGAAGTAAGATTTCAGTGAACAATCCACAGAACCACGGCTCACCCCGGCATAGATCTACTTTCCTTTCTATTTATAGTATTTATATGGGGTGGTGTAATATCTATAGTCAAGGGAGATAACTACTATAATATCTATAATTAGTCGAACTATAATTAATGTATTTATTTATTTCAAGTTAAAAACATCAGAAATCATTGTAATAAATTGTTATATAATGTTATAATAATGATATATTTTATATAAAAATCTAAAAAATGGTAAAATATGAAATAAAAATACTAAGAAATCATCGAGGTTTGAACCCTAAGTTAAAATTTACTGGCTGTGTTTGATTAGTATATTACGGTTTGTTGACTAGTTTTAAGCTGCCGGAGTAAAAACGACTCTCTAAAATAAAAGGAACATAATAAATGTTTTAGGAGTTTCGGTTAAAATGAAGATTTGTGAAAAGAATAAATGCATGTATAAAATAGTACAATTTCAAACAAGTTTTACTTTTAGTTGCTTCAACTGTTGGTCTCTTCAGATAATTTTTAACTTAGCTCAAGTTTTAACAACAATTTACTTTTTTTTATTCGATGAAGGGAAAGAATGTATTAGAAAATAT